CAGAGAGACACCATCTTTCTGACCTAATGAGGGGATATCACTGAAAGCAGGTGAAATACATAGGCTTTAAGCAATCAAGAACCAATACACTGAGTAGGTATGAAAACAACTTGTGATAAAAGTATCGCCCTGGTGGCACGGCCGTCATCCTGGCACTTGGAGGCGGGAGTTGGGGAAGGATGGTTTCAAGTCAGGAGGTTCAAGACCAGCCGGAGCATAAGAGCAGATGTCTCTGACTATAAATAGAAAGAAAATTAATTGGCAACTAATTATATTATAATTAGCTGGCATGGTGGCACATGCCTGTAGTTTCCAGCTGACGCGGGAGGCTGAGGCAGGGAGGAGGATTCGCTTGAGCCCAGGAGTTGGACTTGCTGTGAGTGAACTAGGCTGACGCCACGGCACTCACTCTAGCCTGGCGTAACAGAGCTGAGTCTCTGCTCAAAAAAAAAAAAAAAAGAAGAAAAAGAAAAGAAAAAGAAAAGAAACAAAGAAAGAAAAGAAAGAAAAGAAAAAGAAAAGAAAAAAAAGCAAAAGAAAAAAGGCTGCATTCCCCCTGGGGGTGGGAGTCTGCCTTAGGTCTTCCTGAGGAACTGCAGGAAGAGGAGCAGGAAAAAGTCCCGCGAGGGCGTGCGGGACAGCGGGACGGACCGGCGTGCGGCGGACAGCGGGGAACGGTCCCGGGCGTGCGGGACAGCGGGACGACCCGGGCGTGCGACAGCGCCGGGCACGGTCCCGCAAAAAAAAAAAAAAAAAATCTTGCTATGGTCTAATTTGTGTTCCCATCCTCATCTCTACTCTCCACCAGAATGGTCCAGTTCAGTCCCTTAAATAGCTGGAAGTTGCCATATGCAATGTGCATGGGTTATGTCTAACTGGTATGTGTTGGGCAAATCTGATGTCTCCGTGTGTTGTTCTATTGCACTTTCAGAGATGAAAGAGAAAAGACACAGGTCTTTCCCACAAAGGATCGATCATTTCCCAAGGAGCTAGAATAAAATAAAATATTCCTTGGACCTAGAAGTCTCTAGCACCGAAAGGGGCCTTTCCTTAGGCTTTGCTTCAGCATCCAACAGGGCCTCGCGATCATGGGTGCAAAGTTAACCATCACTGGCTGATGCTATGAAAAATGCGGTTGAAGTCAACCGCATTTTTCATAGCATCAGCCAGTGCCAAAGTGTTCACGGCAGGCTCCAGCTTGGACACTTTCCGTAGCCCGGCACTGTCCTTGGGCAAGGTCCAAAGTCATTAGCAGGGCCCGCTGGTTCAGCTCTTGCCTGCCTCTCCAACACCTCGATCTTGTCTCAGGCGCAGTGCAGTGACTAATCCTCTCTCCTCTTACGCTTTTGCAAGTGCTGTAGCTTCAGCCTGAATCAACCTTCCTCTGCTCCTCCACCGTCTCTCACTCATTTTTAAAGACTGAGCCGGGGGGTGGGGGTGGGGGTCACCCCTGGGAAGCCCAGCCAGACTCCAGTTTAGTCTCCCATACGTGTTGTACATATGTACCGTGTTTCCCCGAAAATAAGCCCTACCCATCAAATAAGCCCTAGCAGGATGTCTAAGCATGTGCGCAATAGAAGACCTACCCCGAAAATCAGCCCTAGTGATGGGCGTGGCTATGAAAATCAGCCCTAGTGATGGGCGTGGCTATGAAAATCAGCCCATTGGAGGTCTGTGAGCTAGGCTGACGCCACAGCACTCTAGCTGGGCAACAGAGTGAGACTCTATGAAAGAAAGAAAGAAAAAAGAAAGAAAGAAAGAAAGAAAGAAGAAAGAAAGAAAGAAAGAGAGAAGAGAGAGAAGAAGGAGAGAAGAAGAGAGAAGAGAAAGAAAGAAAGAAAGAAGAAGAAAAAGAAAGAAAGAAGAAAGAAAGAAAAAGAGAAGAAGGAAGGAAGAAGAGGAAGGAGGAGGAAGAGGAGGAAGAAGAGAAGAAGGAAGGGAAGGAAGAAGGAAGGAAGAAGGAAGGAAGGAGGATGGAAAGAAAATGCTGAGCCTCTTGGATAAAAGACCACACCTGTTCACTTTTTATTGTGCCTTATTAAATGCATCCATCGTCATCGCCATTCGTGAGTTCATGCAACGTGCCAGTGACTGAAAAAAAACCAGGCCGTAAACTGGGTCAGCCTCTGTGGAAAGCAATTTGGGATCCTTAAGCGATACAAGCAGATCTACCATTTGATCCAGCAATCCCCATACTGGGCATGCTACCCAAAAGATCAATGACACTCGACTCAAAAGGACACCTGCACTCGATTGTTTATAGCAGTACAATTCACAATTGCAAAGAGTGGAAACAACCAGTGCCCATCCATACATGAGTGATTGATATAAAATGTGGTATATGTATACCATGGAGTACTACTCAGCTTTAAGAAACAATGGTGATTTGCACCTCTTGTATTTTCCTGGCTAGAGCTGGAACCCATTCTACTAAGTGAAGTGTCCAAGAATGGAAAAACAAGCACCACATGTACTCACCAGCAAACTGGTATTTGGACATAACACTAAGTGACACATAGGAATAACATTTATGGGGGTGTTGGCAGGTGGGGGGGAGGGATAGGTATATACAAGTATATGAGTGAGATGTTCAATGTTTGGGGATGGTCACGCTTGAAGCTCTTGCTCGAGGGGGGAGGGGACATGCGCAAATATGTAACCTTAACATTTGTACCCCATAATATGCTGAAATATTTTAAATGGAAAAAAGGCAGGTC